CTCAGCACCTTCCATGCCCATTAAAGAACACATTTCTGAGTGGATTTTACAGAAAAAATGTTGAATAAAGGCATTTAAAAAATGTAATTTTTAAGTTTTCTCGCTCTCTCAAACTAAGGACTCGACTTTGGCCGCTTTTTAAAACTTATTTTACCTCTGAAACCAGGCGACCCCCACCTCCTTCAATTGCCAATATCTCGACTTGTATTCAAGATAAATGGATATTTTTTCATCAAGGCAAATGGGCATGCTTTAAGATGATACCTATAACTCCATATGCCCAAAAATTGACGAGCGCTTGATTCCACCGCGCTGTGACACTTATTATTAGTGCGCAGTTAGATAACGCCCAAAATACCTTTGGCTGTTCACAGTTTGCTGTACTCTGTTTCCAGATCTGCGATTGGAGGATGTGATGGCTGGGTTCAACCTTTTTTTCCTTTCCTTCTTTTCTTTCTGTCTGTTTATCCTGCTTTTTCCATGACCCAGATAACTCTCACCGTGCCCCTCCAATGTCTTGTATTTCTCTCAGCTGTTTCTGACTCGCTATCTTGCTCGTTCCTTTTGATGATTGACCGTTGTTATTATTTTAATATCGTGCTTCTATTTACTTAAACTTTTTTGAAAACCGCCACCACCACAATCACCACCATCAACACCACCACCACCGTTACCAACATCACCACCACCATCATCACCACCATCACCAGCAGCGACAAGGTCGTGTTGACAATTTTATTCTGCCCAAGACAAACGTTCCAAAAAAAAGGCGGAAATATGTTAAGTGACCATAGCCACCCATTGATTATCAACCCACAGTAAACGATATAATATGTTATTTCCAAAAAGCAAGAACAGACAGATATAGAAATGTATTCGTATCAACTGCAGTGAGGCTACTGAACACACAGTGCTACAGATTAAACAGAGCGAAAGAGAGAGAGAAAGTGAGAGGGAGTGTGTGAGAGTGAGTGTGTGTGTGTGTGTGTGTGTGTGTGTGTGTGTGTGTGTGTGTGTGTGTGTGTGTGTGTGTGGGGTTGTTTCATGTCGTAAAACATGTATTTACTAATGTCCTGTCTTGTTCCGTGTATGCGTGAGTGCACCTAACATTTGTAACCTTCCACTGGCATTGTGAACGACCAAGACAAATGCTTCCCTGTACGAGTAAGATGAATAAAGATTGTTATTCCCATTGTCATTTTTATTGTCATTTTCAAATGGCTTCCACAGTCGAGTTCACACCTCATGCAAGCAAAGCCACAGTTCATCACCTGATGGTGTACGGGTGTCACCTCCCGGCCGTCTCCGACTTTGAAGATCCCTGGTAAGAGTTAGATTTTTTTCTTTGCTTTTTTAAAATTTATACGTGTTTTACGGCGCTCGCACCTGCATAAGGTCATATGAGTGCGCGGGGCACCTCAAACATTTTCAGTTGGTA